AAAAAAATACTCGGGCTTAATGGGGGCGGGCCTTTCGAGGAAAGACCAGGGCGGGGGGCCGCGGGCTGATTGAGCGGCAGGGCCAGCGCAGCCCTACGCGGCGTTGCTGTCAAGGACCACGCTACCACGAAGGACCAGCTGTCCCCCCCAAGGTAAGACATACTCATTTTACCCCAGGCTGAGAGGGGAATCAGGCGAGGGCCAATACGGATTACGTCTAGGGGGGAATTGCCAGGACAAGATGGGGTTGTTCCGGGCGGTGGCGGGATTATGGTCATTCTGGCCAATGATCATGGGACCATTGGTGTGTTTGACATTCCATTCACTACCAAATTTACCTGTACCTTCCAATAATTGGAGTCCGCAGGAAAGTAGGAGAAAGTGGTTAGAAAGGAAATAAGAAAGGCCATAGGTTGGAGATACGGAGGCGGCCTCCCTCTAATGACTAGTACTATGCGTCTTGCCTAATTATGCCCAGTCAGCTAGCCACAAAGACCAAGAAGACCCCAGGTGGTCAGGGTAGCTCCACGGCAACGCTGTGACACTATATGTCTTAGTGTTCATGTTCTGGACCTTATCACAGCGTGATTTACATGGCTCCTTAAGTGAATTGCGGAGACGTTGTCGAAAATAAGAGGCTCTTAAGAACGGGCTGCTACTTAAAACACGAAGAACCTAGTATCCTGCATAGCGCGAGCTGCTGACATGATTCTAATAATCCGAGAGGTGGAGATTACCTCGCCGCCTTTCATTTTAGGACACTTTGCATGGAAGCATATTAGCAAACTATCAGCGGTAAGCCTACACCCTACTAAAAATATCGTGGAAGCTTGGCCAAGTTTTGATTTCTCAGGACCAAGGATACGTATCTTCAAGATTTCTCACGTATTTATAAACCCTCGTCGGTGCAAATCGAAATCTGTCAGCATCAAGCACCAAGACTCCTTATACATTCGAAGCAGTATTATAAGTCATTTTTAACATGTCTTGCCAGCCACTAAAACCCATTTCAATCGAAGCAGCGCTTGCCGTGGGCCAGCAACTGGCAACCCAGCTCCATATCCCACAGAAACTTATCCTGAAGAATATCCAGGAGATGTCACGTCCCCTCACACCGGCAGAAAACGGCTTTATCAACAGCGTCGTCGGTTATTTGCGATCTATTGCGGACACAGTTCAGTCGCCGCAATACATCAACCCTGCTCTCTCTCAAAATAACAGGACCACTACTGTCCAAAACATCCGTGGTGCTGCCGACATTTACGCAGCAATTGACAACACGGCCAACTGTGGTAAAGCGCTTTGCGTTGCACTTGGCGGCAATGGCTTTATTGGATCAGTTACTGGTGTTATATTCAAGGATCTCAGTCCACAGTCGGAAGTTTACAAGAAGCTAAACACCGATGTCGGTGCCGCCAGTAACAAGATGAAAGCGTTGTCACTTAGCTTGTCGACTACGAATGGATACATTCCTCCTGTGAGTGATGGGGGTATCGCATAACGTCGTACTTCGACGTACCCTTGGCACTCTAGCAGCCACCCTAAGGAGTGGTGGAATCCCAGCATTTCTATTTCTCCGGCTCCGAGGAGTATGTGTGAACACTGTGAGGTGCGGGTGTGTCATGAGTTTCTTTCTTCTGCAGATTGCTATCAATTATTGTACTAGTTATCGATATCCCACATTGATGGAATCATCAAGGTTAACAGTGTGACACATGTCATAGATCTTTTTCTTAAGACCTTTATGTTTCGCTATGCCACCTGCTAGAATTACTTGGGGCTTCAGTGGCTCCGATAGTTTGGCAGCTTCCGCGATCTAGGCCGCTACCAAGGCCGATGGCAGCTTCATAACATTGTCCCAGTACAATGTTACGCATTCCACGTAAGGCTGACGCCACATACATCATTGCCTTCACGTACCACTTTGCAGGAGCATGATCGACTTATGGTCTACAAGCAGGCATTAGTATGAGCAAGGTTCGCAGAGCTTCGCACATGCTACGATATCTTTCCTACTATCTACATGATGGAACAAATTCTCATTAATATGTATCTTGAGGCCGTCGCGTCGTCCGGTCCCAAGGCGTCCTCTTAGATATGAAACCGGACGGCTTTCACAATGGCCTATATTGTAGTCTTTGTATTTAGCTTGTACCCGGCTATGCTGATTGATTGATGTGTGTATGAATGCATATGTGTGTTACTATACCTTTCAGTCCCTGCGGGATTTCGTGATTGACCACTCTCCTGGACTAGGTCCATCACGAGATCTTTCCTTCCTCTCCAGTACCCTGTCTGGCCAAACTTCTAGTTTGACACCACCTGAATGAAAAGGCTGAGCGAATGGCACGCCTCGAGATATTGCTGAAGCGCTTGTGGTCTGGTCACCTTGGCCAGTTCCTCAGCTTCTTCGCGTCGGCGCCGCTCCTCTTTGAATCTCTTTTCGGACTTCTCTAACTTGCGGACCAGCTCCACGATCCGTGCGTCCACAGATGCCATAGGATTGTATCTCTTGGGTGAATACATGGAGCATAATAGGAATAGAAGTTGTCAATGTTATGAGGATGGATCATATGCTCCTTTTTTAATGGCTTGCTCCAGAATCCCCTAGGTATCCCCGTGAGGAGTGGGGAGTGATATACACCTCCTCCAGCATAATATACGTTAGATCGCTACATGTCCCATTTTTTCCACGGAACTCACCGTTTTTGCTTAAATATAGATTACCATACAATTTTCATAACATAATATATTATATTTAGCCATTCATTTGTCGTTCACGACATGTTTCGAGCCATTATATTATTGGATTGAGTAAACTCCATGCCGAGCGAAAAATCCACTGTTCAACATTTGCCGATACCGTATAATAAATGCTATACTTGGTTTATATGCAGAGTCGAGATTCCTCGTGCCAACTACCCCTTAAATATCCTCTTCCTCCACGTCATACGCCAGTGCTTTCTGTCCGATTCCAAGCTTTCCAAGGTTTGCAGTCTCATACACCCACAATCCGCCTCTCATGAAGAATTCATTGGCCTTGAGACGCCACTGAGGTACCTTTTCACGAATCGTACCGTTGCGTTCCGCCGTTCGCAGCATTTCCTCAGTTCGGATCTTCCGCTTCTTCTCAAAAGCTTGGAGTGACCCGTGGAGCGGCAGATCGTTCTGCAAAGCTTTGGAGAGGAGAAAGATGTCCTCGATTGCCATTGAAACTCCTTGGCTTGCATGCGGTGGCATGGCATGGGCTGCATCACCCAAGATAAGGCAGCGTCCTTTGCACCATGGTCTACCAGGAGGCAATTTGTACACTGGGTAGAATCGAATGACATCTGTCGATTTGACTATGTCGCGTATCAAATTCGTCCAGTCAGAATCTGCATCTCCAAAGAGCCCCAACATCATTTTAATGGCATTTTGAACTTCACTTTGGCTGCGATGTTCCCACCCGTCTCGAACGTCATGGGTCTCTGGCATCGGAACCTCTCGTGAGAAAAACCAATACAGTGTGTCCCTTGCGTTTGTTGCCGGGCTCACTGCAAACAGTCCGTCAGTGGTCAGGGTGGCATTGAGTTGATCAATCGCCGCGGCTGAAGGCGGAAGATTTGCAGTCGAGACCATGGAATACATGTTGGCAATGCCGGAATATTCTGGGATGCAGTCAGGGTCGACGTAGAGTTTTCTGACTGCCGAATGGATGCCATCGCAGCCCAACACAAGATCTGCAGAATCTTGTGTTCCGTCCGCAAAGATAGCAGTGACCTCATTGGCACCATCTTCGATTTTGGCTAATCGCTTGCCGTAAAGAATTGGAATTTTTGCCTCTGCGGTGGCTTCCAGCAGGACGTCCATCAGGTCTGTTCTTTTGATTCGCAGGTAGCCAAACCCGGTCTTGTCTTTGCTCCACGACACCATATCCATGGTTCCCACTACCGAACCCTGCAACGAGTGGATGACTACAGCAGATGTCAGTGCACCTCGTGCAGCTAGTTTATGGTACAGTCCGAGGCGATCGAGCAAGCGAAGACCATTGGAGGGTATGCCAATTGCTCCTCCTAGCGTGGTGGTTTCAGAGCGAATTTCGTAAACGACAGGATGAATTCCATTGGATCTCTGAAGACGCAGTGCTGCAAGCAGCCCCGCTGGCCCGCCTCCAATAATAATTGCCTGCAACAAAATGTCGTTAGTACTAATGACTAAATGAATAATATGTACGTATTGCACTTCTACCTTTTTGACGTTTGTCATTTTTTCAAAAGTATCTTTATAATGATTTGCGTCTTGAATTTGATTCACGTTGTTCGATTTCACTTCTGGTTGATGATGACTCAGGCAATTGTTCCTGGACTGCTCGAGGCATGATGAATATATCAACTAATAGGCGCTTTCAACGGAGAAACGGACGCCGCGCACAGCTCCGAGGGACAGTGCTGGACTTAATCCATCGCAGCTATAAATTTCTAGTGTTTTCAAGTCTAGTTTGAACCGACCACCTTGAGACGCGACAGCTACCTAGGCGTGCGTTTTGTCACGGTGATTTCGGACTTTGAAGTTTCGCCGACCAAGGCTGAGATGCACGAACCATGCGAGACTCGTTAGTGCGAGTCTCCTACACGATGTTGAAGGTATGTGTGTGCTGTGACTTTTGGTGCTAAGTCCTGTCAACTAACCTACCATAATGGTACGCCAGTTTACCCGTAGAGCCGTCGAACTGTAGTGAATATACTGCTATACGAGCCTAAGCCTATACTGCCCGCCCGCACCCCGTGACAGCTGCAATGAGTGCCGTAAATCTTTGTCGGCGTCGGACTTTCGGGCTTTTTGCAATTAGCTCCAGGGGAGGCGGACATCTTAGTGCCATTAGAGTTCAGAACGATCGAACGGGCGGGCAAACAAACGCTGAAAGTCCGGCCTCAACCCAAACGATCACTTGATGGTAGTGTCTTGACCGCCATGTAGCAAGTCATACAAGCAATCAATCTTCGACCATAAATATAGTTTGAGGAGGAGATGTCGCCATCATTGGAGCAGGACCATGTGTTTGTGCTAATCTATATGTTGCCAAATTTAGTAAGCTAGCGCAATTCAGGGTCTGTCCTTGGCTATCGCCCTATACCAGCAATCAATTTCCTGCTCTGTATACGAGGCGAATGGGAAATACATGCAATCGCACAACGAAGAGATCGTACTCACTGGACATCCCTGTCGCTTTCTTGATATATTAGGGGTCTATGCACCACTTCGGGCCTGAGGTGCTTGTTATGAAGAACAATAGGGATGAAACTCTGGCGACATGGTAACATTGGTACAATACGGTGTCTCCATACTATACGGCTTAATATTCGAAAAACGCATTGAGGAAACAGAGAGCAAGGTCATATTTTGAGTGGTCAATGTGTTGAGAACTGCATCTATGGTTATCGGCACAAATGGTGATTATTCGACGGTAAGGCTGTATCTAAGCATTATATAGCCCCAGTACACCGGCATTTATTGAGTGTATGGACGTGTTCCGATTTGGGAACTGTGATGGCTGAGTAAAGATTACAAAACGGCCTGCCTTATTCCATATACAGAGAGCACCCTGGTCATTGTTCCTGAAGTAAGCGAGGAGTCGACTTCTTTGAATTCCGTATTTGGTTTACCGGCCTCATGCACAGATGGTGGCATTGAACGACGGGAAAGCTCAGCATCTCGCCGAATTCGATTGCACTCTATGATTCTTGAGAAATATTGGAAATTTTGTGGCGTTGGAAATGCGCTCAACCAGAAGCTTTGTGAAGACCGACACACACTCGCCATAAGCTCACGTCATAAAGTGCCAGTTTTGGGGCGCTGGTCTTCGGAATATGGTTGAGTAGTGATCATTGGATTTGTTGCTCATTCCATGCCTGCAGCATCTGGGCAAGGTGTGGCTCAAGCACTTAAAAAAATGTGGAGTCGTTGACAGATAGCTATCATGTCTTTTCAGCTTCTGGACATAGAACTTCCTGATGTATTGTCCACCTGGAAAGCTTATCGAAAAGATGAGATGATTTAACAAGCAGTAAAGATCCAATTAGATAATCCGTTGAGGAATCGTAAACATGACAATTCGCGCTGTGGCAATAATCATACAGCCAAGCCCAAGTCAGCATGTCACGACTACCATTAATTAAGTACCTAGGTAGGAATGGATTTGTCGCCGTGGTCTAATTGTTACCGTTCCGTGTTCATATTGGCTTTAGCCTGTAGCGTCCTTATTGGGCTCAGTTCGTGAAAGCTAGGTATCTTGTAATTGAATTCTGCTAGGTTAGGGTAGTCGGGTACTATCCGGACTGCTCAAGCTTATCTCGGAAAGGGCTCCCGGAGATCACCCACTATGACTTCATCTCCACAAATTTCACGCGAGTCAAATCCCGAGCAACGGTTACCTTTGCTTCATATGCGTGGCCCGGTCGGCAACTTGCCGATTCAGTTTTTCCATACTGTTTCGCACGACCTCAATACCCGCGTGCTGCTGGCAAAGGCGCGGTTTTCGGAGCAGTTTCCCCGGCGACATGGAAGACAATCGAGAGTCCAGTCACGATTCAGTGGAGATTCTCGAACAACAACCAGCGAAACGCAGGAGGATAGCCCTGGCATGCGGCTCCTGCCGAGATCGCAAAACACGCTGCGACGGCCAGAAGCCCGTATGCGGACCTTGCACAAAGCGCGGCAATGCCGATAGTGAATGTGCGTATGCGGTCCTGGCTGGCAGTGCGAAACGACAGAGCGAACAGGAGTAAGATTTTCATAAAACTGAATTATTATACCGTTATCCTCCTTACACAATTCCACCCCGTAATGTTTGTTCAGCAGCAAATAATGAAAGTACAGATATATTTCTTGCCTGCAGCAAGAAATACGGGATCTTAGACAAGCGCTTACGAGTCGTCAGAACCGTGAAAGCGCTCCTCTGGTACCTCAGATTCGCACAACTGCCTTTTCAGTAAGTCCAGGGCGTGCACCAGCTCCTACCTCGACACTGCCACAATCGTTACAAAGTGCCCACCAATATGACCCTCGTCGGATTCCCGCGCCTCAGGATGGCTCAACGTATCCAGACCCATCATCGATCTTGCCATACAGTGTTCAGGGCGACGCCTCACCGCTGCCTGTTCTATCGAACCCGCAATCATCCACGCATCCCGTCGCGGACGTGAATCCTCGGTCGGATGTTGGGTCAAAACGACAAACAACGTCCTCAAGGCACGGAGTGAGCCCAAGAGTAGAGTCGGCTGCCCAAAATACAGAGATGACTCCCGTGAACGCCATGGGTGCAGCAACCTCCATTTGGTCGTCATCGTCTCGTAATAGGGAGTTTTTTGGCCAGTCATCTATCGTATCTCTACTAGAACAAGTAGCACATCCTGTTCTACAAGCAAGCTCTTACGCTGCTGAGTCGACTTCGGCTAGGAGTGACATACCGGCACCGCGACGAGGTCTTGGTGACAGAGCTAATGAACCCACGCTTCGTTTCGATGGTCGAGAGGGCTCGTTGAGTGGTCTGCTCGGAGCACAATACTCGTTGCCCCCTCGAGATGTTGCAGACGAACTATTCAATAATTACTATGCCAACGTCCATATATTTTACCCTTGGACGCATCCAGCCCGTGTGCGTAAGACTTATGAAAGTATCTGGGCATTACAGGACAATCAACCTCAAGAACCAGCGGAAAGCTTCGAAGTTGGCCTGGGAAGTCCTTGCCCACAGCGCATATTCTTCTTGGCGCTGAATGCCATGTTTGCACTAGGATTGCAATTCTCACGGTTTGACGCTGCAGAGAAGGAGGATGCATCCAAAATGTTCTACAGACGAATGGAGGAACTTGTCAACATGGAGCTTGTCGGCGGTAACAGCTTGGCACACGTGCAAGCGTTTTTGCTTGTTGGCCAATACCTATTGTGTACACAATATCCATCACGCTGCTGGAATGTGTCGGGCCTTGCCTGCCGGATGGCCATGGGCCTTGGGCTACAGACCAAGACATATCCGGAGGGTCTTCTGCCCATCGAAGTCGAAATCAGGCGGCGTGTGTGGTACGGCTGCGCCCAGATGGACATGTAAGCCCCTTTCCCCCTCTTTTTTTCTTTAGCACCATGCCTGTTCTACTACTGATATCGATGCCATTTTTCCTGACTTAGGTTTATAAGTATGATGCTAGGCCGCAAGCCTTCTACAAGTATGAACCTTGAGGTTCCATTACCCACTCCTGTGGACGATGAGGTGCTGGAGAGAGTTGGCAGCCCTAATTCTCACACCAAGGATGACCCATCTATCAATGCTTTCATGGTAGAAAATATTAGACTCACACGAATTCTCGGCAATATACTAGATGTCCTATACGAAACCACACCAAAGGACCCAAACCGCCACTTACCTTTGCGGTTGCAAGGCAGTGACCTGAATTGCGAAGACTTTAATGCAATTGCCTCGTTGGACGGTCAATTAAACAGATTTACCAAAGAGCTTCCTGCCTTTCTCCAACAAAATGAGTTCGAACCTATGCAATCGAGGGACAGAAGACTCGTTCGCCAAACTGAAGTCCTACATGCGCGGTATGTGGTCTTCCCTAACACCCGGCACCGATGACATGGACAACTAGCTTGAATGCTACGTGAGAACTTATGGTCTAATGTTTGTCCCGAATTCAGGATTCTGCATCTCCGGATTCTACTCTATCGACCAAGCCTGAGCATTTACTGTAGTGATGCATCATCTCTCAAGCAAAGGATGCACTCAGGCACTGCTGATAACGTTCGATCAGCATCGCCACTTGATAGTACCTTCATAAAATCGATGCGGCTTCCTTGTGCGGTCGCTTGCGTGCAGACAACATGCGACCTTGTTAAGCTCATGGAAACAGCGATTATGCGAAATACGACGGGTGCATGGTGGTTCAGTGTGTTTTGTAAGCTGCTTACGACGTGAACGCGATCAAAGCGCAGATGACTAAAACTACATTCTGTCCCAGATCTTGTTACGTGTGGTACAATTCTCCTGTTAGCCCAGAGCTCATCGCAACTTGAGCCTCATCTCGCGCAGCAAAACCTTGACGTAGCCTGGAAGTCCTGTATTAGGACCCTTCAACATATCAGTGGCAGACATTCACGTGTTGAAGGCTACATTGAATTGTTAGTTGCACTTAAAGAACGAATGATGCATGGTATGACAAGACTTCTTGCCTCTAGCCCCCATCCCTCCCATTTTCTTTGGTTTACTGACGTGCATTGGTGATTTCTTTTCAGTTGATCGCAATCCATTGCAAACAGCTTCACCTCATATGCCAGCACAGACTTCCCAATTCCATGACCACACGCCCCCTGTAGATTCAACGGTACCCGATACAACACCACGTCCAGTCTGGGGCAGTGGCGCTTCCACCGACCGCAGGGGAGACATAGCTGGAGACCGACACGTGCGATCTGAAGGGCAAGCAAATGGTTTTTCTATGCTAGAAAATTTCGGATTTGGGTTGAACTCGTTTATTGACCCTTCCTTGTACGACGGGTCAACAGGTTTGCCTCCTGGTTTTATGATGGATGATCCAGCGACTAGAGCCTTTATTCCTACTTTCATATGATCTTTTATGATCTGGTAATAAAAATGCTTCTTGGACTGGGCATGTGTTAAGACGTAGATATAACGTCCTCTCCAGGATGGCCCATGTGGCGGAGTCTCGCCCACTTCCTTTCTTTTGGCACAGTGAATCAGCTACTACGAGCTATATGCCTTTATTAGAGAATATCTACATGACGAGTGTTCTGGTTATCTGTAGCTAAGCTTAGTAGTAGTGTAGATTTAGACCCTTGTCAATGCCATATGCTGTTTCGGCATTTACCCGGCCAGGCATTTGGGCGGAGCACGCGAACCTGGCTGCTTGCCTTTAGTTAGTGCATGCGGTCCATTGCAGCAGCACGCAATCAAAGACGCCGAAATAAGGCTATCATTTATAGAAATCCCATCTGAGCTTGCTTATCATGATTATTTGTCATTATAAATACCGTTCCGCTCAAGGGGACTTGTCATTTAAATTCGTGCACCATGTCCATGCAAAAAGTTGGGGACTCAAGACAAGTCGAAAGCAAATGACAAGGACCACTTGAATACATGTGAGGATGGTCCACCCATTGCAAGCCATGGCGGCCTTCGTGGCCTGCACTTCTGCTTCATCTGTTACTCAACTTTTGAATGTGACATACTATATCCCGTCAAAAGTAGAGGTGAGTATTCTTGATCGAAAATTCGAAGCGGTGAATAACAAAGGTAAAAGTTACCGTATCACTTTGAAATTCCGACGCCAGCACCCGTCACCGTTCTGACCTTGCCCGAACAATTCGTCACAGCTTCATGGTTGAACAATACGATTTCGGGATTCTTGGACCAGGACGATGTTTACACAAAAGGTTTCTTGTCAGGTATGGTGCATTACCGCTTCCCGCCTGCCGACCTCAAAAGTGCTGACTTTTGTATCTTGCTCAACAGCATTCTACATTCAGGGACATCACAACGTCAGCTTTGCTGATGACGCACATCAATTGATCCAATCGTTGGGGGTCGAGAACATTTTCAGAGCTGACTCAAGCTGCAATGTAACGCTTCCAGATGGACCATATTTTGCCACCTATGCAGGCTTGCACCGAGCCTGGCGTTTATATGACGACTTTACAAATTCGTTTGTCTTGGCCTCTGTTCCCAGCGCCAATGATGCCAACGTATATGAACCTCTTGCGGCCAATTCAGGCAATCAATTCGGTTTTATGTCCGTTGCTGTACCATCTAGGCTATTCTATCAACCTTCTCCCGAAAAGCCTCTTGCCGGCTACCGTGTTGCAGTCAAGGATGAGTATGACATCAACGGCCTTTTGACGACTTACGGGAGTCGATCATATGCAGCAACGTACCCTCCCGCAAATCGTACTTCGGGTGTTATTCAGGCTCTTATCGACCAGGGCGCTATCATTGTTGGCAAAACAAAGCTATCAACATTTGCGCAAGCATACTTTACCGCGGCTCAGTGGGTCGATTACTCTCTGCCAGTCGTAAGTCTTATGGCCCTATACTCGGAAAATCAAAGATGCTGACTGCTCTAGAACGTGAGGGGCGATTCCTACCAGATACCGGGTGCATCTTCGGCAGGATCCGGCTCTTCCATGATCGCCTACGACTGGCTAGACAACACTGTGGGTGAAGATACCGGTGGATGTCTGTAAAACCTTTATCTTATCTGTATTCAAAAACTGACTTGTTTGGCAGCCATGCGCTATCCTTCAGCCTTGAATGGTCTTTACGGTATTCGCAGCTCCATTAACAGTACCAACACCACATTCACAGACTTTGGGCCCTTTGATGCAGCGGGCCATTTCGCTCGCGATGTCGACTCCTTGAATACATTTGGCGCGGCCATGTATCGCGGATCCAATTTCAAAAACTTTACAAAGTTTCCGAACAGAATATTATATCCCCAAGAATACTGGACAAATGTGGACGCTGACTACATTGCCCCTTGCGAGTTATATTTGCAGAAACTAGAAGCTTTTCTGGGAGTTGATCGTACACCAATTGACACCAATCGGCTTTGGCTCAACACTTCCGGTCATGGAAATACTAGTATCGGCGATTATTTCCAAAATGTAAGAATCCAGAAACAGTTCATTGGATGGAAGCTAATAAGGTGTTAAGACGTTTAGTTACGTGCAAGGCACGAGCACTTTCTTCCTAAGATTTCAAAAAGACTACATCAGTAAATTCGGAACCTATCCATACATGACCTTGGATGATACAAGCAGCAATGTCAGTCTTTCAACCAACTCGCAGACACAGCTCGGGGCAGCACAAAGAGCAGAATTCCAGGCATGGTATAGAAAGCACATCTTGAGCCCGGATGACACCACGTGCTCGCAGACTATTGTTGTCTTCCCGTTCAATGGGAATGGTGGCAAACCGTGGTACCGAGATTCCACGACTTCGGACTCGGCGAGCGGTACTGCGTCGGCCTTGGCGGGATATATCAGCTGGAATCTGCTATCCGTTCTCAACGGAAGCCCGGAGATTGTGGTTCCGGTTGGCGAAGTAGAGTACCTCAGTCGAGTCACTCTAGCGACGGAGAAATTCCCCGCTGCGGTCGAAATCCAGGCGGCATATGGCTGCGACTTGATGTTGACGAATCTTGTGCGCGAAGTGGCTTATGCAATGGACTTACCTCGAGGAGTAAAGACTGGCCGTTTCATGTTTTAAAGGGTAGTAGTTTGGGATACAAATGGGGTCAAAACTTCCTTCCTCTTACTGCTTCTCCCGTGTAATCGATTTTGGGCCATTCCTAATATATTGTGGAATGTGGTAGAGGGGTGTCGCAGCCATGGATTCTAAAAAGAAAGCCGAAAAAATGTCTTAGAATGCTTCAAGCATCAAACTAATGGAACACAATCCTTTCAGGTATAGATCTGGTCTCTTTTTACTTCGAATTGGGTCTTTCCTGTGTTTTTTGGCCATGGTAACTGACCTTGGAGGAACTCTTAATCCAGTACATCATTTTGCTGCAAGTATGATGCCAAGAGCTTAGAGAGGTTTTATGACAGCGATTGGAACAAAGTTGCTAGTCGCTTGGGCTTGGGAAATAGACTTGGAAGCTTTTGGCAGTTGATCCACAGATTCTGGGGAAGCCAAGTACAGGGCATCGCCTTGATGGCTGCCACGAAGATGACTACCAGAATAAGGCGGCCAGTGAGAAATAGGCTCGAATATTGAGAATAACAAAATAGAAACCTGTTTGTGAGCCTAGAAGAGAGCCGAGGATCAATGCAATCAAGCAATTGAGAAAGAAACAATTGAGAAAGAGATAGGTTCCAACACCACATTATTCGTAGGACTTTGGAATATTGCGCACTGCCAGTCTTCCAACACAGCTGTGAGCATGCCCGAAACCATATTTTGCCTATCCACTATCATCTCCCAACCATTATTGCTCCTTAAATACTTTGACTGTCATTATAATAATAATCGCAGAACTGGAATTAAAGATGGTCGTTTTTCCCCCCTCTTTACAGTGCCATTTGCGCTAATCGACTCTAGTCCTCCCTCCCTAGCTCCGCTGTAGCCTACGCGACATGGGACGCGCAGCGTACAAGCTCGGTGCCAAAGTGACGTACCCTCTGAATCCCCAGGTACACACCTTGCATTTAGCCCATTCAAGCTACATCGCCGCACATGATTTCAGCGGCGCGTTGAGTTACTTAGGTAGATATGTAGGATTATGGCCAGCTTCAGACATTATCCAAGGACAGATCGTTTTGCGCAAGAGACATTATCTGCAGCCCTGGAAAGGTGTTGTGGAGACGCAGCCAATACGCGCTAGAATTACGGCACCACTGTAGACCTAGGATATGTAGCTTTGGGCAATCCGGGTAGTATCCGATTGCTCGACTACACAAAGTCAAGATACGACGGATGCGAAAGTCCAAAAAAAAAAAAATTTGATTGCGATTAGATAATAAGATGGGCGAAAGATGGCATCTATTATCAGTCATTTTGAATTTACAGCTCATGATTGCATAGTAAGCATTCCACGCTAAATATAGTATTCTTATACCATTGTAAACATCTCCTTTCCATCATGGCGGGCAAATAATGCAAACTCTACTTGCTCTACCTTCCGTCATATAAGAGCTGTCAATCTCAGCTTGAGTCGTCTCGCAGCTCGCCATCTCCAGCCAAGATCCCCACTTCGGCAACGACCCGAATTTTGGTTCCAGGTGCCACACGTTCATTGTAAGCTAAGCTAGTATAGATACGTACACAATACGCGGGTATCTACCGAGATATCTTGTGGCCCTAGACTCGGGATTAAGATATTCATATGGATCCATTGCGAATCCCGGGAGTCTGGGACGATACCCGTTACTGCAACGAGGCCGTCATTGACCGACTAGTTGCCGATATCCTTGATTTGTAGATAGGGGAAAGCGAGTCTTAACAAAAAGTATTGCGTTAAAGTTTGCAATTATTGAATTGCACTATTGTACAGATAAGGACGACATCGTGATTATTAAAGAAATGGGCCCTGCCCACTACCAAGTTCCAGGCGAATGAAACTTTGCCTGTCTGCAATTTTGTCAACAAGATCAAGATGTATTTCTTGCCAATCACTCTGCTTGTTGCGGCCCAGTTGCCCGCTGCCTTGACAGCTGCAGCATGCGGCTCTGCTGAGGCATATGCTGCGATTGACGCCGAAGCTTTCACAGTGGCTGCTGTCCGACAGCCCCCTGTCAACTTTGCACTTCCTGTCGGTTTGAACAAGACTTGGGTTGACTTGGACCTGAATGCTACAGTTGACCAAGCCATCCAAACCATCGCCGAGGCCAAAGATGACGGAGTCGCTTTGATTGCATTTCCCGAGCTTTACTTTCCTGGGTATCCTGTGGTGAGTCATTGCTATTTTTCTTCCATTCAGTCAATTTCGGGCAAATTCTCATTCGCGATCTCATTATTAGGCCATCAACACGGCATACACTGCCGAGCAGATTGCCCAATATGTCTCGCAGTCCATGTCAATCGACAGTGCCGCTTTCCGAAAATTGGTCAACGCATTTAAAGACCAAGGCGTGTACGGCGAGTTTGGTTTCTCAGAGATCGCAGACGGCATGATCTTCATGGCACAGGTGCTCGTTGGTCCAGACGGAACTATTCTACGACATCGACGCAAGTTACGTCCCTCGGGCGTCGAACGTGATATCTGGTCTGATGGGGACATGTCAGGTCTGACTGTGACCCCGACTCCACATGGTCGCATCGGCCTCCTTGAGTGTTGGGAGCACTTCCACGTAGGTTTTTAGTCTAGCTGATTGTATACGCGCGATCCGGAGAACATCTACTAATCACTGAGGCCAGCCAACCATGACTTTTGTAATGCAAGCTCAGGCAGAAAATATCCACATTGCGGCTTTCCCGTAAGTTTCTATGAGTTGATCTAATGCATCACTACGACACTGGCTGACGAGCTCTTTTAGTTACGCACCGGATTTCGGCGTGGACCCTGCGGCCTGGGAATCCGCCGAGGTTGGAGGTGCGGCAGCGCGCGCCTATGCTGTGAACAGTGGCGCATACGTTATCATGCCCGCTGTTGGTACCGCCTCCATCTTCGGTAATGATGGCAGCACGCTCAGCATCATCAACGCGACCGACTCGCCCGAAGTCAATTACATCACTGCAACAATCAACACCACCACTTTCTCTAATGCAACATATGACTCTGATGGAGAGCAAAGCTGGGCTGCCCTGCAGCAGATCGTGGCCGAATTCCCCGCTTACATTCCCAAGGTCAACAGTACTTTCTTTGCTAAGAAGACTGTCCCTATCAAAAGCATTATCTGAGCATCCGCACGTCAAGGCTTTCGTCGTCAAATCAAGGCGGAGCCTGGCCAGGTCGACCTTGTCATAGTTAAAAGCTAGTAATGCAATCTTCAGCGCGGATAATGGTCAGATAACAAATGGATCTTACACACTCGAGTATGCTATAGATCGCTCCGTAATGTCAAGGCTTTTAGATACTGTTGATTTGTTCCGATATTTGTTAATTCTGTGATGTCTTGACGAGGCGCGGGCTTCGTAAGGTGGCTTCAGCTGATTCCCGGGGGCCCCGTATATCTTTCTGAGTGCCACAGCGTTGATCAGTGTGATGCAGAACACCTTATGTACGGGATCTACTGTCTACTATCTAACAACTATTATTTTGTAATAAATTTAGATACGATCGATTGGAATGCCTGCAAAAGCTTATCAGGCGCGCTGAGATGAGGACAATGACCAGTCTCCAATCTAGCACAGACCACGTTTGGTCCGAGTAAGTTGATCATCTGCTCCTGATACTGGGGCGGCAGAGCGTTATCCTGTGAACAAAAGATGTAGCCGCATTGAACACCATTCATCCATGGCTCATACTCGCAGCGCGTGCTAAAAAGCTTCGCTGAGGTGTGCGTCATTTCACTGGCCCATTTGTTCTGTAGTTCTGGTTCCATATCGTTGAAGAAAACATGAGACATAAACTCCGGTTTGACAAATACTCGATCACCCTTATTATTATTAGCAATGACTGTTCCCTAGTGACGCGCCAGTGGCTGATCTCTGGGGTCAAGTGCACACGAACCTGAACGTCCATCCAAGGCAAAGGTTCACCACCGACCAGCCCAAGAATCGATGCGTCTTTAGGTATCACAAATGCGGCGAGATAAATGATACCGATCACATCATACCCGTCAATAGCCATGCTGCCAGACACGCCTCCAGCTGAGTGCGCTAGGATCAACGCTCTCTTGCCACTCTGCCTAACCTCTCTCAGCGACGATCGCACAGCCTGAACGTCGTCTGCAAGGCCAGAAAGCGGATTTCCGGCCGCTCCCACAGAAGGAACTTGCACCAATTCTGTTGGGTATCCGGCTTCATTTAACTTTCGGGAAAAGTCCAGCAAGGCTGCTGACTGTTGCCACGCGCCGGGGACAATGACGATGGTAGGTTTGCTCATTGTGTTGAAGGATAAACTTGACTTGGAAAAGTGCTGATATTGGCGAACTGTATAAGCTTGACGCAGGGCATTGCATTTATACACAGAGTGTCATCCATAGAGACATAAGTGACCCACGGAAATCAGCCGGGTCACCCAAACAAGCCGACACTGGAGGCGGGCAACGTGGATCACTACATCACCGCGAGTCAGGTGCAAACCCCGAGCCATGCGCTAACGTTTCCTCGGTATGGATGCCCGGCAACTTGCCGTTCTACCACTTACAGACTAATTCAGGCCCAGAATATCAGGATCGGGATCATACAGTCACCCTCGAACGGTCTCTGCGCGCGCACACCACATTAACGCCCTGTGCCCGATTCGTTTTCGATTGAAATGTAAGGGCACACCAGATTCATGTCACGATTCGGTAAAGGTTCTTGAACGGCCCGCAAAACGTCAGCGGATCGCACCTGGCATACAGCTCTTACCGGGATGATCAACAGTGGCGGCAATAGTGATGACCCTATTTTATCAAGTACGCAGCTTGCTGAATGTTAGCATTACTGGCCTGCAGTCGCAACCGGATGATGGAGCGAGGAAGGAGGTGGTACAAGCAGGTGCCGATGGCCTCTTGCGAGCTCTCGAGACGTACCCAAGCGACCTTCATCTATGACTTCACTGTTTATTCTTGATACTAGTTGGGAGAAGGCTACTGGGATGGCAGCATCTATGATTTCTCGGTCGTCTTGAATGAAACTTCATTTCAACGCATTCGTAGCAAATTCTTCAACTTTCCGCCCTTCCTTCTCCAGTCGCTCGCTATATCTGTCGGAGAATAAATCGACATACTCCCGCATGATTATAGTGTACTTGACAAACTCTTCCATGCAATCCACTAGGCGGTTCCGATTGTCACTGGGCAGCAGACGAGCCTGACCGCTTCCATCGCCGCCCTCGTCCTCAAACTGCTTGTACGCCGTCGGGATGCTCGACTGGTTGGGGATGGTAAACATGCGCATCCACCGTCCGAGCACGCGCAAGCTGTTGACCGTGTTGAAAGACTGGCTACCCCCATTGACCTGCACAATTGCCAGCGTGCGTCCCTGGGTCGGTCGCATCGAGCCCTGGGACAGCGGGATCCAGTCAATCTGGTTCTTGAAAACGGCCGTCAGGTTGCCATGTTGCTCGGGTGAGCACCAAATGTGCCCGTCGCTCCACTGCGAGAGCTGGCGGAGCTCCTGCACTACCGGATGGTCTGCATCGACAGAGTCTCGGATGGGCAGGCCCGACGGGTCAAAGATGCGCACGTCGCAGCCTAGGCGATGTAGAATACGTGCTGCCTCGTAGGCTGCAAGCTTGGAGTACGATCTACAACCGTCGTGAGTTCTTGGATTCTCTAGAAATACCATGGATATTGATGTACCGTTTCCGTAGGCTGCCGTACAAGACAAGGACCTTGATTCTCGATCCAGTCTTTTCCAGGTCTGCTTGCGCCATTCTGGTCACTCTATCAAGTTCGAGGCCATCAATCCAGTCCTTGGGGCCATTTGGATAATGGCAAAGAAAAGGCCGGTATTTTGCTCTTATTGTTGGGTCATCTTGATCTTTGGATATGGGTAATAATGTGCAACTCTGAAGAGCACCATTGGCGGTTGGCCCTCGGGGGCTGTAAGGTGGCGGGGCAGACGACATTGGCATATTTAGAATGACTGGCTGGGCTTCGCTCCGAAAGACCTCTAAATTGTGACAACAATGAAAATGTGGAAGAAGAAAAAAGAGAGAGAGAAGAATGTTTCTGAGCAGATTCCTTCCTCTCTGTTCGTGCCAATCCCGAGATATATTCCAATATATTTGATCCCAAATAACACAGATTGTAGTTGCTCGAAAGTGCCTTACAGGCGTTCTCCTAGCTGCGGCTGAAGTTTCAGCAAGGATTACAGCGCATGATTCAACGGGTCGGTCACTAACTGCAGTGCGATCATCGGCCCCTCAACGATGCCAAGCCGCATGATACGATTTCGGCCAATGACATTAGGGGCATGACAGATGGACGTCCCATTGAAACTCTTCTAGCCTGTACCCCAAGAGACGTCGGAGCCATTTAGCTAAGACACTGCGCAGTGGACATGCATTTGTCGATATGTAAAAAATTAGTATTCTCGTAATTGGTCCTTGATTTGACGCCGTCTTTGCTTTTGTCATAACCCTACGTTGCTCCCGTCATGCCTTCAATTCAAATGACGCGAGACGCCGTACTGGCCTTGATAAGCGACACAGGCAATGTCGCTGGCAAACAATATGTCATTGTCGATCTCCGCAGAAATGACTTTGTGGTGCGTTCGACCATAGCAATCCTACATCAAGATGAATTCTTGGACAGCACCTAAAAGCATATTTGAAACTCAATAGGGAGGTCACATTCGAGGTTCCATCAACCTGCCGGCCCAGACTCTTCAATCATCGCTGCCGACATTGTACAACATGTGCAAGGCCGCCGGAGTCCAGAAAGTCATTTGGTATTGCAGTGAGTAAAGTAGCTCTGCTAATGTAAATCCGAGACGCTGACCTTGGTCACCTAGTGTCCTCCCGAGGGCGAGGCACGAGAGGAGCTGATCTCTTTAGCAATTATCTCCAAGCCCGTGGGGATTCAGTAATGGAGAGTATCATTCTAGTTGAGGGTATCAGAGGTTGGGCAAATGCCGGTGACAAATTCACGGACTGGCTGGATGAGTACGATGCTTCGTATTGGGAATCAGAAGAAAAATAACTAGGAGCCGTACTAGGTATACTCAATGCCCCACAATGTATTTCAGTCTCGATGGACCGGCTCTAATAAGTTCGTGGTTTTAGTGAACAAGGGAGTCCTTCGTTGCATCCTGAATGGGCTTTGGTAGAGAACTTCCCTCACAGGTTGCAACCGGGACATTGCAATGTGCTTTGCATTTGTCTTTGGAAGGGTTTGGTTGTTAATACAAAACCCAGGTGCATAAGTTGCTGTATAGTTCGTACATTTTCTTTCATGTACGAAGGCAACTGAGAATGAGTGGTGTGCAATGAAAAGCCGTTGAACAGTAATATATTCAAGTACCTATGTACTCCATCTGCTCTTCTTCTCGTGTTTGATAATCATCGAGATGATTGAATTTGTCACCCAACCCTTGAGCGTATTCGGCTTGACAAAATTCTCGCTGTAAAAAGACATATTAAGACTCCGCCCCACATGTGCGTCAAAGAGCTGTGCAGCAAGGAGTGATATTAAAAAAAGCCCGAGATCAAAGGGAATAAGAATGTAAGCCCAGTCGAGATGTCAAACCGCCATGCCTGGTACGATCTAAGATGAAAAAGAATTTGGTGAAACCTGGTTGGGTGGGGACCATGATCGTCTCCAAAGCCCATAGAATAAGTTCGCACCTGAGCCGATGTGTGAAGGGGGAACTGAAGACGAGATGATCGAGGAAGCATTGAAAGTTGTCTGAGTTGATCTCTAGTCTACAAAAGAGAGGTGCTGAAGAGCGACTATATACCCACGCAGGTGATCTGCGGTGGGTACTGACTACGTCAGTACGATATAAGTGCAAATCGACCAAAATATTGAAGAGTATGCCAACCTAATCGAACAGCTATCGATATCCTAATACTGAAATGAGCGCAACCCATCAAATTCGATACTAGTTTCATCATGTTCTCAAAGATCCCAAATTTGGCCAAATCACCTCGCCGCTCTAGAGCTAGAGGTTTTGGATGGCTCGAATCTGTTTCCGATATTAGTCTAAAGGGTATAAAAGGAGGTTGGAGGCAAGTGAGACAAACCAGCCTGGAGAAAGACCTCCCAATCTTCATATTTCTCAGAAGCTCTACAGCATCTATTGCTACTACTGGCACATCTTCGGGTGCTGTTTGACTTTTATAGAGATGTAGCTCAGCAGGACAGTCAAAAATTGCAGAGATACGCAGCCCGTTCCTTGGGTAGTCTTTGCGTTGTTCGTCTGTATCTTCATAGTCGATTGGCATGTATTCACGGACGCCAAGTAGGGCGCCTCGTATAGTTCTAGTGTCTTCTTCTGGCTCTCTTTCCGTGCTTCTAGGATCACCGTCTAGGAGAAGAGCATAACGAGCTCCTGCCTCAGTCGACATCTCGTCGTCGGCTGTTTTGAAGAGGGTGACGTGAACAGAGAACATCGGAGTCTGCATTATAAATTCATGCGATGACAGACCCTGGGGCCATACAAATATGGCAAGACGGCGGCCCCCCCCCCCGCATTGCCACCCGTGAAGTGAATTTTGGTACCCTTCAGAGTCATGAAGGTTCTATCGCTGAAAGAAATTGCGTGTCGTTTGGTCGGGACCCATCTGTTTTTGTGGTTCTTACCCGCTTTGAGCCGTGGGCCTTGGTTGAAGAGTAACGTAAGAGGAACACCCTCCAGATTCCATAGAAGTCCCATCAGCATGTTATGACCGGGAAAATACTGCACAAGCTGATGAAAGTTGAAAGTAAGCAGGTTCGCAAATATCCCCGGGACATCCTTTTCTTCACTTGTGCTTCTCCAAGCGAGCATGTTCCAGATATCTGAGAAGCTGGAGACATCTCGCGCAGCATGATCTTTGGCAGCCAAAGAGTCTTCGTCGCTCTGGAATATTCCGTCAGAGTCACTGAACAACTGCATAGGGCCTTCTAGAACCGACACTAGCTGCTTGCGTATGTGTTCTTCGACGGAGCATTCTGTTCTAGGCATAGGATGTGACAATTCATCAGCTTCGAATATCGTCTCAGGCTCTTTCAAATATTGCAACATGTGGTTCCTCATGTGTGAGTCTTCTTCTTCAAGTCTGCGGGGTGATGTTCTGAAGCGATCGCCGCCCAAGAGACCATCAGAAAACTTGACAAGCCATGTTGACCCTAAAGCCCCTTCTTGAAGCGTCCAGCACCGCGAATTCCAATGACTGAAGGCGATCCGTGCTGCGATCTCGCACTTGGGTGCTCCTGTGAGACTTATTTTTCGTAGCTGAGCGTCCAATATCATAGCATGAGTAGTGGCCCCGTAGTACACCATATTCATATGATGAATGGCCCTCTGCTTGAGCGCGTTGATTCTTGCAACCTGGTCCGGGGTATTCGATGCACATGCAACTGGGATGCATAACGTGTCCATCCAAAACAGCTGTTTCCGGAAGACTGGCTCATCACGGCTGACAAATTTGTATTTTAAGTGTCTCAGGACCATTTGAAGCTGTCCTTTCAAAGTCCTGAGCCTTGTATCACTATCGAGTGGAACTTCAGGGAAGGAATCCATAATGCTCTCCAGCTCACACTGGAAAAGTGAATTTGCGTCTGGATTCCCCAAGCCATCGGACCAAACATGGGAAATTGACACATACTCAGACAGCGAGCCCATTCTTGTGAGTTTTAGGCAAAATGTACCGTGACCGGCAGGCTCCACATAAACAAGCGGTATATCTCCATCTTCGATGATCCTGCACAGTGACTCGGTGTCGACATGAATATCGCGACACTGACAAGTATCGGTCGCATGGGACCGGCGATAAGGCGGCCTAGAAGGAGAATCGAAAGGGAAGCACTCTTCCCTTGTGCATTGGAAATGGGGTAGGGAAAGAACTGGTGATCGGCGGATTTGTGATAAGTAATAGATGGTAAGGAGGTCTTGACTTGTAAAAATGTGGTCCAGATCGCTTCGACACCAGCCATTCCTGACCATTTTCCTTTCCAGTATGTTGCTCTCCCAGTGAGACAGATCAAGAAAGTATGACGGATAGTATATCTCGTGGGTCGCGGGAGGCGGAGCCGGTTCATATCGGAAAAGGGCTTTTACTTTGGATGGGATACTCCAAAAAAACGATTTTATAGAAATCCCGAACAACCAGCCATAGAGGTAAAGCTTCGTCCAACAAGGCAGATCTGACAAGCCATCGTCAGGTTCGATTGAAGAATCATCATCATTGTCCCGCCAGCCTATTGATGGATCCTTGGTTGGATTGCAACCCAAGAGAGTTATAGTCAATAGTTGGATAGAGAGACAGATAGCAGCCAGATCCGGCGACTTCTCGATGTCCTCCTCGTCCAAACTAGACACAGTATGACGTGAGTAAATGCAGAGGTCATCCCTGAGTTTCCTACGCTTGGCCCTGCTGGCTGATAAAGCCTTTCTTTGCTCTCTGAGGACCTCCTTACGATGACGATCGGTTTCTCCGCGTTCCTCACTGTACGACTCCCGCTCCTTGTTGCGTGCCTCGCGCTCTCTTCGGTCGAGCTTCTTGAGAAGCTTGTTCGAGTGAGCGGATGTGACGCAAACCGGGCCGGGATCTCGAAGAGGGTCATCGGGAGGCCTAGTGGTGGTGAAGTCAGTCAAGTCAATATGTGTATTGAAAAATGCCGATATTAAGCCAAAGTACAGCCAAGACTGAACGACAGTGGCAAGTTTGGCCAGGTCCAGGTCACGCGCAATTGTGCCTTGGTGTCCAAATTCACGCCGATCAGGAAATTGCCGGAAATGTTCCAGTGCTGCATCCAGAGGCAAATCATCGACCAGATCGTAAGGAATGACGTCCAAATAGGGTACTCTGATAGGCGCACCTGCATCCCGAGGTGCTGGTAAATGGTCCATGTTCCGCTCCAAGAGAAGCTGGCCTGGGTCCGCTTCGAAAGAGTGGGATGTATAGGTAAGAAAGTTGCAAGGTCCAAACGATGACTTTGGTCTGGAATAATAAGGCTCTGAGGGCCAGAGCCTTACAAACATGTACTTGTCTGGATTTGCGACCTTATCGCTGATCTTGCATCGGTTTAAACATCATCCAATGTCAGGTCATCATTACCCTGTTGCATGGGTGGCAGTGCAGTTGGAACTTACAGCCTACAAGCAGTGAAAGGCCAATTGGAGGCGTGGTTGCAATGCGAGTGACAGGACGTGGTGCTAAAACCCGAAGGCTTTAATCGGTGGTTCACATGGGGCAATCCCAGTGGCGGATTGGGAGCAGGCCGAAGAACCTCTCTCGTGGTAAGGCTACGAGTTACTGACTTCATGAAAGCGACAG